TGCCCTGGAGGAGATCCACATGGCGTGGCAGACCTCTCCTGACCCGCCCACTGCTCCCCTCAGCAGTGTACTTCCTTGATCTGCCTGTTCTACTCCCCACTCTGGTGAATCCACTCACCCTCCGCATCTCTGGCCTGTACCCCAATTCTGTATGAATAAATAAATAAATCTTTAAAAAAAAAATAGATATGTCATATACAACCAACAGCAAAGGAGACAAAATTTGGAATTTGAGCCAAGATATTTGCCCACTTATAAAAGAAACACAACCCTCATTGAAAGTCTAATAGAGTTCTGAGTCTTTATACATAAAATTCACAATGTCGAAGACTCTAGAAATTTATGATATATGAAGAAGCAGGAAAACATGATTCATATTCAAAGAGAAAGAGTCTGTTCAGACCTACCCCAAGATGATTCAACTAGATTTATAACATGAGGATTTTAAGCAGCTCTAAGACATTATATTCAATAGTATAAAGGAAAATGTGCTTATAATGAATGAAAAAACAGAAAACATCAGCAAAAAAACAGAAATAAGAATTTCTTAAAAAGACAATTTTTTAATTAATTTACCAATTAGGCTTAACAAATCAGAGATGAAAAAGAAAAGTCAGTGCACCTGACAATACATTGTCAAGAACAGGAAAAAATAAACTGAAAAATAATAAAATACACAGAGCCTCAGAGACTTGTGAGACAACCCCAAAGGTCTAAAATATGTGTAACTGGATTATAAGCAGAGGCAAGAAAGGGCAAGTTTTATTTCACAGGTAGTTAAATTAAAAAAGTGAAGCTTACAGATTAGCATCAATCATTAATTGTGAAAAAAAAAAAAATAAGCTTGAGTTCCAAATGGAAATGTAGCTGTTTTAAGTATGAGTTTTAGAAATTTATAGAAGCTAGGTTATTAATCAATACATGTTTTCATGCCTCTGGTTGTTCAGGTCAATTGGTGTTGTTGAACAAGTTCTCAGATACAAACACAATGTATGAAAAAAACATTGTTTTTTACAAAAGCATTCCAGAATTATTATTTTTTTTTTTTTTAATTTATTCATACAGAGCTGCGGTACAAGCCAGAAGTGCAGGGTCGGTGAGAGGCTTCACCAGAGACAGAGTGGGAAGCAGAACAGGCAGATGTACTGAAATACACTGCTGAGGGGAGCAGCGGGTGGGTCAGGAGAGGTCTGCCATGCCATATGGATCAACTCTGGAGCCTAGAGCAAACTCGCACTGAGGTGGCTGCGGCCAGTTTGCAGTGCTGCATCCTACCCCACAGGGCCACTAGGGAGGGCCCTCCAGAATTACTCTAAAGAATCAAACAGAGATCATGTAACAGAAAAGGGACTTGTAAAAGTACCATAAATAGTGTCCTTCTCTGTAGCACAAAGTACAAATTCCAACTCAACTGGCTACCACAAATCCATGATATAGGCTTTAAAAACAAAACTTTTAGGGAATCCTTGGTAACGCTGGGGTTAAAGTCTCAGTGCTATCAAGCTATACCAGCCACTGCAGCATGAGTTCAATCATTGGCCAAGGAAACTGACCCACATGCACACAGACTTCTCCTGTCTCGTTCACTGCTCCCTTCAGTAATGTATTTCAGTACATCTGCCTGTTCTGTTCCCCACTCTGTCTGCTGAATCCTCATCCACCCGTACCTCTTTATCCACAAATAAATCTTTAAAAGTAAATCAAAATTTTTTTTAGTTTTCACTTTTTAAAAACCATAAAGACATTATTAAACAAACCTACTAAAGTATAGAAAGGAAAATGGGGTTACCTTGACTGCTTTCTGGGAATTGGGCAATGCTTCCTCTATGTCTTCTAAAAGAATTCCTCCTAAGCCTCGCTGGTCATGATTATCTAAGAGTCTAAGCAGAGACTTCTTATCTTTCACTTTGTACTTGGGCTTGAAGGCATACTTCCCATCTATTACTTCAATTTTTGGATTATTGACTAAAGCCTGTAACAGTGACACAATTTGGATACATTAACAAAAGGAAACTCCATATATACATTCTTAAATTCTATTTTTAAGGTAACAATATCCCAATATAGTGGCAAATGAAAAACATCTTATGAATAGTAACTAGTAGATCTAAAATATTGGACATCCAGTATCCAAAATAATGGTCTAGAGATCAACATGGTGCTCACATTTTATAAAACAAGTTGCTTATTATCTACATAAATTCTTTGCATGAGAAATAAATCATTTTATCCCAACTTTTTTTGAAGATAACTATACCATATTTCTTTGGAAGACAGAGGAAGAACGAAATGCATCTAACAGTAATACACAAAGTGAACTAGGAATTGCCTGGCCCACTCTCAGAGTACAGTTTATGGCATTCTGGTGTTATAATGTGAGAAGCATTATCCTGAAAAGAAAACATCAATAATCAGTCAACCCCACTGGCATAAACTGGCACTAGCAGCTGTGGAAGGAATTAAAAAGGACCGGACTAGTGCATATAAAAAATTTTTTTTTTTAAAGATTTTATTTGTGCATACAGAACTGGGATATAGGCCAGAGATGTGGAGGGTGAGAGAATTCACCAGAGACAGAGTGGAGTGCAGAACAGGCAGATCAACGAAATACACTGCTGAGGGGAGCAGCGGGCGGGTCAGCAGAGGTCTGCCACGCCATGTGGTCACCTCCGGGGCAGGCGGGAATCGAACTCATGAGGAAGCGGCTTTAGATTCTCAGTGCTGTGCTTTAACCCGCTGCGCCACCAGGGAGGGCCTGCATATAAAAATTTTACCTATAAATGTCAGCTTGAGATTGAAACTGAGTAGGAATGCAGGAATTACTGAATATAATTATGTTCCTAGTCAGTTCTGTAGTACAAATATCAGAAGGAAAGCTCTTCAAGAAAGAGCAACCCTATTTATTTTCTTCTGCAGCTGCAAGCCTGACCCTGAAAGGAGAAAGAGAAAAAACACAGAAAGGAGGAGGGAGAAAGAATAGTAATAAAAATAACCTTTAATATCCATCATCTATGGTTTTCCAAGATTAGGTAAAAGTAACAAAATTTAAATGTGGATTAGCACCATCTGTGAAACACTAATATAGTGAGCTACAATGATACTTATTAACTGGCTTATTTTATAAATAAATCATGAACTGTAATTTGCTTGGTAAAATAACTGATTAATATTTTAGGAATTTTTGTATTCAGCAATGGTCCCACAAAGTAGTCTTGTCATTTCACATTAAACAAGAGAGGCACATATCTGCATTTTTAAGAAGCGATTCATTTCCAAATTTGCATGGTCACTATTTCAAGGCTTCTTTTTTTCCCCACTGTTGTGTGTAATCCACAATGTTCATAATTACTTTTCCAAGTAACCTGGCAGAGGGAGCAGTAAAATCACTACCAACTCATAACAGCTAATGGTGTTAACAACTATCCAGCTTAACAAAACTATTTTGCTACCCCTATAGAACTTCAGGTTTTAAATTTGTAAAACAAATACAAAAACAACACAACTTACTAACACATACCTTATAAATTTAGCAATTCAAAGCAGGCACCAATTATTCTATAAAAACTTAAATGGAGTGGTGTGACTGACTTCAACTTTTATGCTCAAGTCTCTAATACTTTAAATATGTAAGATTATGTGAATTATAACATACCAAGCTTATAAATGAGCTTTTTTTAAAAATGCCCTATCCTAATTCAAGAAAAAGTAAAAATGATCATATTTAGCATATTACAAACACTACTTTAGCAAGTATTTCATGGCAATCAACTAATTTTTTAATGACATTTTAAGCCCAGTCCTACCTCAGTCATTAGCCATTGTTTCTGCTTCAGTCCAATGTCTAGATGTTGTGTTTCATCCAAGATTTCTTCTAAAGTTAGAGGATGTGTATCTCCTTGCTGATGCCGTGTCTGTTGAAAGAAGAAACTATCAGAAGACAGCTTTAAACTGTTAGATAAGTTATAAGTAAATGTATCTTTTCAAGATTTTAAAACTAGTATTACTGAACGTAATATACAGTGATAGAGAGCTATAAAGAATAACTAAGAACTCCAAAAACTAGGTAACAAAATTCAAAGGGGCCCTCCTTAATGGCTCAGTAGGTTAAAGTAGCACTGTGAAGCTATCCAGAGTCACTGCAGTACGAGTTCAAACTCTGGCCAGGGAGGTGACCCACATGGCATGGCAGACCTCTTCTAAAACCCACCCCACACCATTCTCCCCCCACTGCTGCTACCCTCAGCAGTGTATCTGCAGTTTATCTGTCTAACCCCACTCTGTCTCTGGTAAATTCTCTCACCCCCACATCTGTGGCCTGTACCCCAGTTCTTGTATGCATAATTTTTTTAAAGATATATTTATTTGTACATACAGAACTGGGGTACAGGCCAGAGGCTGAGGGGTGGCTAGA